TTTTAATTCACGTAGTCCGGGAACTTTCCGGACAAACTGTGTATATTTAAAAATAAAGGTAGGAACAGCGGAATCTAACATACAAAACTACACATGTATCAATGCGGATCAGAAAATCGGAATAAGCAATAGCGATAAAATTTCCGACGAGTTGGAATTCTGTGTTAAAAACTGTGTTATTTCTATCGCTATCGCTATTCCTTCCATTGTGCAAGGGGCTTTATAGTTCTATTATAGTCTCAAAGCGCATATTCGCGTATGCGCATTGCATCCGCCAATCGGTTTCCATGTTTTCGCGTTTTTAAATGTGATATCATTGCCGTACTAATTCCAACTTCATGAAAGAGGTTCTGCTGGAACCCAAATGATTTTTTTTGATTACCTTAGTTTTTCTTAATAGATTTTATTTTTTTTTTTAATGAAGAAAATATTAGGAAGAATTTTGAAATAAATAAACGCGTAATGCTGACATTACACAAAAAGCTTTATTAGGTACTTTATTAGGTTAAAAGGAGGAGCCAACCATTCTTTGAAAATGTCTTTATTTAACCACGATTTAAGAAATTTTTTGATTTACTTTGTTTTTTTGATGGCTCCTGTGGCAATAGTAGAATCCATATTGCAAAATTGATGCAAACCTATTGCGCAAAGTAATTATTACAATAACTTATCTTTTTATTCCACGCTCTTTAACTTTCCTAATTCCTACTGCAAAATCCTACCAAAACTATACATGTCGGTGCCCTTTGTTTACATGTATAATTGTATATGTACATCACTGAATTCTTCCGGCGGCGCAGTGCGCACGTGCGAAAACGTGACTTTGAGACAACACCGTTCCGTTATTTACTACCAATACTGAAAATCTATGATCACGTGACGTGAATTGAAGATCTTCAATGAACACAATCATGAAATAAGTTGACTTGACCAAGATTCAAGTAAGTGGCGGCAAGTGTCTGCGCGCGTGATCAAAAAGGTCGTGCTGATATCACGATATCAATCTTATATTTGACATTGTGCGGGAATTGTGATTTTTCGCGTCAAACACAAGGTGTAACGAGGTAGATTTGCAAATATTTGACACAAATGACTTCTTTAACTGGAAATCGTAACGACCAACACTCTCACGTGTTGGTTCCAGTTTTTGTAAGTTTCTGCACTATCCCGATCTCGATGATGTTTTGGATAGTAAATGAGGATTATTCAATATTGTGGCCGGATTCTAAAAACCATATAAAAGGTTCATATGCGTTTTTAATATTATCTGACTGTTTAGTAGTAGTATTTTATTTTCAGTGTCAGTGGAACTTTAAGAAAGGTCAAAAAAGCAAAACAATTAAAAAAATCTGAAAGAACGTGAAAATTTTCGGTTAATGATAGCCATATGCTGGATGTTTGTCGCCTATTTTTGTATATATATATATATATATATATATATATATACAGGGATGTTCCGTAATTGCCGTACAATCTCTCGTGGGTAGATCCAGAGGATTATATTGAGTCAAAAAGTTTTTTATTACTTTGCGAGATTCGCAATAATTACCAAGATCTTAATAAAGATCGGCGTGACATATATACGTGACATATACATACAGATAAATGCGCGATTAAGCATGAAACGGGCCGCAGCTCTATATATTGCGACAGGTAACACCGTGAGCGCGCGAAGCACGCCGAGCTGTTCTACGCGCGTAAGACAACTCGATGCACGCTTCGCAGATCTTTATTAATTAAGATTTTAATAATTATTGCGAATCTCGCAAAGTGGTAAAAAACTTTTTTTGACTCAATATAACTCTCTCTACCTGCCTACGAGAGATTGTACGGCAATTACGGGACACCATGTACATATCGGATAGAAAAATACGCGATAAACATCCAGCGTATGGCTCTTATTGGCCGAAAAATTTCACGTTTAAATTTTCAAGAGCCTTAAACTCTTTATTAAAAAATATGGCTTATAAATATCGCAACTTTTGTTATTATTACTGTACTAAAACTTGTATATTTGTCTTATTTATATTACAGATATTTATTTATTTTATTGCTATCAAAATAATAAAAGAAGATAAAAAACCCAGTTGGGTTTAATAACCCAACATTTATATTTTACAAGATAATGGAAACTGAAATCTATACATGCGTCACAAATTATAAAAAGATTAATACCTAAATGGTTTTATAAAGTATCTCGTGAGAGATCTGTACAAAAAATTGATTACTTAACTTAAATTCTTTTAAATTGTAAATGATGAGATCATACATGTACAAATTTAGGCTATTTTTTTATATCTCAATTTTAATCTATACATACGTCACCAACTATGAAAAGAGTAATACCTAAATGTTTTTAAAATATCTCGTGAGAGATCTGTACAAAAAATTGATTATTTAACTTAAATTCTTTTGATTTGTAAATGATGAGATCATACATGTACCCAGCAAACATTTCGGTCACAGAACCATATCCATCTGTGTCCTCAGTAGGATATGGTTTGTTAATCATGTCTGTCAACATGTGAAATGTCAAAATGCGACCAAAATAATGACAGAGTCTGCCACAAGCAAAGCG